TTAGGAAAAATTAAGTTTCAGGTGTCATAAAATGACAAATTAAGGTGTTTTGCGCAACTGGCTCTTTTACTTGGGCAAAAGTAACAATACCACAGTGTATAAATATTGCTACAGGCAAATGTCCTGCATTAAAATTGTATTCAAGTTAAGGTACAAAGTATTAGCATCAAATATATTCTGTACATTTAATTATAATTATTGATGCATTAATATGTGCATTACTTTAATGTTGCAGCTGTTAAAGGTGGAGCTACTTTTTATGATGTACACTGTCAGGTAGTTTGTGAATTTCACCAAGGGATCAATTAAGTCTTATCTTTATTCTCAGTAGGCTAATAAATCATAATTTATTTTAGATTATGTTTTGTATTAATAATCTGAATCTGCAAACATTCCCCCCAACATTTGTATGTGGAGCCTATGTGCGTAGTAAATGGGCTGAAAAATGGGCCCTATATGGGACTGACCATAGGTTCCATAATGGCCCCATGTCAGTTGCCCATATAGGTGGGTTTACCCACGGGCCCCAGATAAGATGCCTAGTTTGGGCCCATACCCACCTGGTACCCAGGTAGCCCTAGCATAACCCCACTACCACAGGTAAACCCATTCATGTGGCCAACTGGCATGGGGCCATTATGGAACCCATGGTCAGTCCCATTTTTCAGTCCATTTACTACACACATGGACCCTACGTACAAATGTCTCCTGGGCCCTTGTGTTTATTTGTTCTTTTAAATGTTATTTATTTCAAACATTTTATTGTTTATTGTTGTAATGTCTAGTTATTTATCTATAAATTTTTCTGTGCTGTTCTAATCCTGTGGTGTGAAGCACGTTGGGCTTCATGATTGTATGGAAGGTGGTATTTGAATAAAGTCTGATTTGATTTGAAATGTAATGGAATAAAAAATGTAACAGTTTCCTCTGAAATGTAGTGGAGTAGAAGTGTTAAGCAGAAGAAAATGGAAGTGAAGTACTTCAAAATTGTACTTGAGTAAATACTTAATTACTTTCTACCACTGGTCCTAAATTAGTTTTTCGTCAGTGATTTTTAATAAGCGATTATCAGCAGGTGGCTAATGTGTATTGTGGTGCATTTACAGCCTCCACAGCTCCAGCTGGCCTGAATGGATATTAACCTTGAACTATTACCTTAATAAGTCTTTACTGGCTCTCTGCGCTTTCCTGCTGATCACACTGACGTGTTCCTCTGACTGACTGACCTGAAGTAATTGGGGCCTGAATCACCCTCTGATGTTCATGCAGCTGATTTTTATGTGTTGGTCTGACATTCCAGAGTTAAGAGGATTGCATGTATGAGCTATGAAACTCCAGAAGGAGATCATCAATACACAAAGAAAAATATTTTGCTACTCTTTGCTGCTCTTCAACTGCCCACTTACAACTTGGATGTCAGAGCTTCCAACATGTGATGAATGATTTAGACAGGGACACACATGAAGACAAAATCACTTGGTGCTGTGGAAATTTGCATAATCTTTTGACTGAAGAACATCTTCTTGCATAAAAAATTAAAGTCAGACAATCACATTAATTGCAAAACAGCCTCTTTAAAAATGTAATCACTGGCTGTAGGCTTTATTTCCAGTGCTGATGATGCCTTGTTTGCCACATCATACTGGTGTTTGTCTTTCTGTGCCTCCTGCCACAGTGAACGTGAAGAAGACACTATGAGTTTGATTCGGCCACTGCTTGACCTGAAAAAGGAGAGAAATCTTCTCCAAGCCGACCCATCTGTGTGTGCATGTTGGTGCTGCCAGAGGTGATTAATACCCTTTGTGTTAAGGCAGAGGCCTGGAGGTTCAGCTCCATCCTGCCCAGTCCATCCAGCTGTGTTGCAAACTGCCTCGGACCGGCTGAAAAGTGTCTTTCTAAATGAACACGAGGGTTGTTTGCATGTAAGACAGAGATCTGATGTTCCCTGCTGCCTCCCTGCAGCACGTAGCAGCAGCCAGCTGCATCGCTGTAACAGGCCACTGAGCAGCACGATTAGTGCACAGGAGCTGCTCCCATCGCTCTTCCACTACATTTGATCATGCCCTACTCTCCTATGCTCACCTCATATTCATGCAAATATGGTCTCTTTTAAATCAGTGGTGACTCAAAACCAAGGCCTGTATGAATTAACGAGATGAAGTACAGCTCCTACGTGTGACGCAACAGTGATTTTCTACAGTTTTATAAGGAGAGTTGTGAAGCTTTAATATAAAGAAGTAAGTGGGTGAAGTGCTCTCTGGTTTTCTTGTCGTCTTTTCACCAATTAGCAAAGTTTCACATTCACAAAACTCCACTTTGAAACTGCCAAAACCTTATAATTAATAATGGCATTTTATACCATCTTTTGGGTGATTACTATATTCCATACAATGTTTATATGTGCATGTGTGTGTCAATGCTCATTTGTTTCTGTATATAACATGTCATATCAAATCAGATTTATGAAGAACTTTAAAACAATATGTAGATTTCATAAATCTTATAAATGTGATCAGTAAAAGACAATTCAAGACCCGAACACTGATCTGATTCATGACTAGGCAAAGCATTTTATAAACTCTATCTGCCGAAAAATCACCTGAACAACCAAATTATATTTCCACAGAGCTTTCAGTGTCAGTAGTTAGTCAGGGCTGGCTCAGGCTTGCATTGAACCAGCCCCTAGTGAGGCTGATAAAGGCCTAGTCTGTCAGGGGACTTCCTAAGATACACTGAGCTCCTGTCTTCTCCTCTATTTCTCTCTTCATTTACAAATATTCATGTCCCATTTACGCATGTTACTAACTTGGCTTCTTACCCTTCTGCTTTCTCCTCTTGGAGGTTCTCACAGATCGGGGTTGCACCTGGATCGTGGTTGTGCTGCTGCTGTTGTCCTGCCTGATCCCTGCTACTACTGCTATTAGTATTAGTCATACTTTTTCTAATATTATTAACATACATATGATTATTATTGTTACACATACATACTATCATATATTAATGTATACATATAAGATATCTTGTCCCTGTATAACCAGAGCTGCGTTTGCATTCTCAGTGTAAAGTCAAACGCGTTCAAGGGGGTTCTCCCTTGTCACCGATACTTTTGTGATTTTCATGGACAGGATTTCGAGGTGCAGCCGCGGAGAGGAAGGGGTCCTGAACCACATCATCTACTTTTTGCAGATAACGTGGTTCCATTGGTTTCATCACACCGTGACCTCCAGCATGCACTGGGGCAGTTTGCAGCCAAGTGCGAAGTGTCAGGATGAGAGTCAGCACCTCCAAATCTGAGGCCATGGTTCTCTGCTGGAAAATGGTGGATTGCCCTCTCAGGGTTGGGGGAGAGTTACTGCCCCAAGCAAGGGAGTTCAAGTATCTCAGGTTCATGAGTGAGGGTAGAATGGAGCGTGAAATGGATTGGCGGTTTGGAACGGCTTTTGCTCTGATGCAGGCACTGCGCCAGACCGCCGTGGTGAAGAGGGAGCTGAGCTGGAAGGTGAAGCTTTCGATTTACTGGTCCATCTATGTCCCAACCCTCATCTATGGTCATGAACTCTGGGTAGTGGCTGAAAGAATGAGATCACAAGCGACCGAAATGACTAGGCCTGGGAATTGGGGTCCCCCAGGAGGAGCTGGAAATTGTGCTGGGGAGAGGGACATCTTGGGTGCTTTGCTTGGCCTGCTGCCCCCATGACCTGGCCCTGGACAAGCGGATGAAAATGAATGGATGGATATAAGATATAAACTAATTAATGCTACTATAATTATTATTCATATTTTGACATTATATGGTTGTTATTGTTGTTGCTGTGCATCTCTCTCCTTCTACGTATCATTTTGTCATATGGATCACTCTAATTTTATAATGTTGATCTGTATACAATAAATATGGCATGTCTGTGCATCCTGGAAGACGAATCCTTCCTCACTTGCTCTTCCTGAGTTTCTTTCACTTTTTTGAAAGGGTTTTTTGGGGTCCTATATTGTAAAGCCCTCTGAGGCAACTAGTGATGTGTGATGTTGGGCTATAAAAATAAAATAAAATTAAACTGAGCAGTGTATATTACTTTTATTGTGTGCATTTTTTTGTTTTGATGTGGATAATGTTCTGTGTGAGATTTAAAGGGTCATATATTTTGTCAGGTTTTCTACAGTTCTGTTTAAACAAATATCTTTGACCCCTGATGTGATGTGACTTTCAGTGAGATGAACACAGTCACTTGATTATATAATCACTGCTATGAAATACGCTCTACTCCCTAATGAATAGAACCATTTTACGAACTGCATAATATTCCTGTAGGGACTCAATGTAAATGTAGCACAGTGAGTTAAGTGAGCTTTGTGGTAGTCTCACGACCAGATTATATAAATTTTTCACTGTCCCATGAACAGCAAAATATTTATTTGATTTATTAGATTTCATCCGTTATAGTGCTTCGTGTGATTACCATATAGCTCTTTATAAACAGCTTTATGTATAATATAATCTGATTTATGGTGAGATCAGCACAGTCAGTGGGTGCAGGATTGTACATCTGAGTGATTATTTGGGGAAGCTTTTTTATAGTAAACAGCCATTTGGCTTCTGTTCTTTCACCAGTATTTTCAGATGCTTCTTGTTTTTATTACGCTGCATCTCATAAATACGCACTGAGGGGGGCTTTTAAGACTGTCCTCAGGCTATTTCCACATGTAGTATTTCACATTCTGACATTTAAGTGGAAAGTGGGGATGAGGAAGATGTAGTGGGGGTGGGGTGGGGGGTAGTAGTTTGCACTGTGGCCATCAGATGGCGCTTAAGAGGCTCCACGGTCCTACAGATAGAGTTGAATGGGATCCCAGTGATCTGCCACAGAGGCGGGAGGGGAGTGCTGCACAAGTCCTGGACGAGGTTTGAGCCAAAAGCCCTGTGCTGCCTGACTTTTATCGGCATTCCTCCGCCTGTCCGACCCGCAGCACGGAGCCTGACGGGTCACGGTGCGTAATTACGCACGGGGACGACAGATCCGCGGTGCTGTTGGCGGTGGAAACCCACCGGTGGACAAAGGAAGGCAGACAGACTGGAGTACAACTGACTTGAGAGGAGAGGAGTACTGTTGGAGGGGAAACGGGGGGAATCTGGAGTCGGAAGTGATTTGTCTTTTTTTTTTTTTTTTTTTTTTTGGAAATGTAAGTTTCGTCAGGATATCGGAGAAGAAGTGAATCCGTTTGGAAACCGCTGAGAAAAGGACAAAAAGTGGGTTTGTGTGTGGAATCAGTCCCCTACACAGCATCTAGATCCTCAGAGCATGGGGTAAGTTAGACATTTGTGTGTGAAATGTGCAGCTGGCGCACTCCTGCTGTCTGGAAGTGATTTGTTCAAATGGCGAAACGCTCACAAAGTGAAGTTTGTGGTGACTTGTGGGAATTTTCTGAGCTCGTTGTTTGGTCCAACCAAAGCCTGTCGATCAGATCAACACCAGTTCACATGTGACACTGCATTGTTTTCTTTGTGTACACTCTGGTGGACATTACCGAGAGAGGAGTCCTTTATGTGTGAACCGCAGAGCTCGAGACCCAGTCTGATGTCCGTTTACACCCTAATGACACGTGTGACCGTAAAAAGGTCAAACTCATATGCTGACCGACCATGGCTGCATTACATGAAACTATGTGTCTGATACACACACACGGGTTTAATAAAATGTAATCACATTTTTATGGTCATATGACAAAACAAGCAGATTACTCATGCATCCTGCAGCGAACAGACTTACTGTGATTTCCTGTTCTCTATTCCTCTATTTACACACACACACACACACACACACACACACACACACACACTCTCAGTTCTCTGGGCCACATCCAGGTCGACTGTTGTGCAGGGGATCCTGGGTGGGTTTGCTATGGGAAGCCCCTGGTGTCAAACCGTGGTCATTCTCATTAGCTGCATATATGTGTGTGTGTGTGTTGAATTATACATGCAGGCCTTCAGCTCTGTTCAGACACACCTGAACCCTCCTCACATTACCAGAGTCCATGCTGTCGGCGGGTTTAGTGACACTTGAGTTGAGTTGCTGCACAGATGACTGACTGAGATCAGTATTAGAGCGTCCTCAGTGCTCTGTTATCTCTATTAGGCTTTGACTGATGTGCTTTTGGAAGAACATTATTTATACACGTATGCAGTTTGGCCGTATTCCCTTTTTAGTGACACTTAAAATACATTGCATGCAAAAAACAGTTTTATTATAGACTTATGGTCCATTTACTTACAACTTACACTACGTAAGAAGGTGTCATTGGGATGTCCAAATTGCAGCATAGTCTTAGTATTTCCCTGTTTGTATTGGTTGAGAACTGGTTCCAAATTGGAATCGCATACCTCCAAGTTTATCACTTCCTTTTATCAATGCCGGCATGTTTTTCTGATAGTTGCACAATGCAAAATAGTGGTGTCAAACTCAAGCGTCTGCACCTCTGAAAATTTGTAAGCTAAAATGAAGCTTAAGAAAGATGACAAAAGTGCTGCCATAATGTCTGTAAAATAATAATTTTAAGTAAGAGTGGAAACACCAGCTCTATGCTGAAGCATCTTTCTATGCGGCATGGTCTTAAATTCAAGGAAAGACACTACTCATGAGTGTCACTGCTTCCCAGCAGGGCAGCGTCTCTTACCATTGGTGAATATCATGTTATAGTAACATTAACAGGTTTTTTCTTAGCACAGTGGAGCTTTTGCACACCTGAATCACATGCATGCCCTTTTTCCTAGTCTGTTTATACACTGTGTTCGGACACAGGGTTGATAAAACATTGACTACTTTTTTTCCACACATGTAATTGATCAGGAACCAATAAAGGAATCAATAAACAATCTGGCTCATAAGCAGAATCGGTAACAGGCATTGGTATCAATAAAATCTCATCAGTTCCCATTCGGACCCGTTTGTTGCCCAAACTGCAACAATAGCTTCAGTTGCTGCTTCCCGCCAAAGACTAGAAAGTGTGTCCTTTGATTGTCCTCAAGACCAGACTGAAGATGTGTCTCCTCCTTAGATGAGTCACACAGAAACTAATGGTGCATTCAGGCGGTCCTCAACAATTTATTAAGTCAAATTTCCAAGTGCACCACCTGGGTGTTGCTCTCATATAGCCAACAGAGTGGTAAATACCTGAGTTTAGATGTCCCGCTTCAGCATGGGCAACTTATTGGTGAAACTGTATCAGGATTCTTAGAAATATCTCAGTCTAGTTCCATATTCCACATGTACAAGGACTACAGTACTTTAAGACAAGTGATCTGAGTTGACTACACACAGCTCTTTAGCACCTGGGGTTCAGTGCCTTGCTCAAGGGCACCTTGGCAGTGCCCAGAAGGCAAACTGGCACCTCTCCAGCTACCAGTCCACGCTCCACACTTGGTCTGTACGGACACATGAGCTGTCAACCTCTGGTTCCCATATGGACTGAGCTACTGGCGCCCCAGTTATGCATGGATATGTTTATGGATGTGTAAATGAGGGTGGCATAGACCAAGTTGGTATCCGCAGCACATACTGTCACTGTGCCACAGAAAGCTTCAGGTAGACTGTGCCCTTTCAAGTGGTGTCATTGGCACACCACCACCCATACAAACCTGCTGTTTAACATCTGCACCCAAGTGGGAATGCTGTTCCTTTTACACAGTCAGAGCTTAGACCAGACATCAGCTTGGCTTCACCCCTCTGTGGTGACTACATGCAGCTTAGTTAAATCACCTGGTCCAAATGAAAGTCATGAAGGACCTGTGGGCCACCGTGCGCACTCAGACAGAAATCTGAACAACTCTTGACAGATGGAGACGGCACGTAGCTGCTCTGCCCTCTTGACAGAGGCGAGCGCCAGGAGGAGTCTTGATTAACAACCACTTCAGGTCCATAAACAAAATGAGTGTTGAGTGCACAGGTGCTCTCATGCTGTGTACAGCTTGTCTTAAGGTACTTATTAAACATATCACTTGACCCATGAAGGTCCCTGTACAAATACAATATGTCATTTGATGGAGAGAGAGTCTTGATTTAATAGAGATCCTCTATTTTTCTGTAACAGGCTACTGTCAGCTTTCATTATTTACAACCCGCAGCAGCAGCTTTTCGATCCATTCAGTTAAATTATACATATATCAGAAGCTGATGACCACATGAAAGCAAATACCTGTTAAACACAAAGTGGCCATGTCATATATTCTCTGAATTCAGAGCCCTCTCCATTCCAATGGACATAACTTTGCTAGGATGTCTAGATCTATGATTATTGTCATCTGACTCCACCCAGGCACACATAATTATTTATTTGTATGTCTATTAGCCAATCACAGAATTCAGTATTATCTAAAGTGGATTGCAGTGAGCCACATCCCCTTTTTTTATCAAGCATGGCCGACTGTGAGGCAACGAGGAAGCCAAGGCACATTTAAATCTATTTATCATATTGTTTAAGTACATTATTTGTGTTTAAACTGTGTTTAAAGTAAACATAAAATGTTATATTACTTGTACATGTCAAAAAATCATATGAAAGACTGAACTTTTACTCTGGATTTTTTTTTTTTTTTTTTTTTTTAAAAAACACTCATCCATTGGAATAGACAGTAGATCTGAGTGTCACCGGGAATTAAATAAAGAAATACTGTTCTAATTTGTTCTAATGCATTCACTTTATTCATTCATATCAGTTAACAATTGATGAAAAATAAATAAGCTTATATTTTTGTTGGAAAAAAAGCTCTGTTAAGACCATTTACTGTTATTTTTACTGTTAGGTGGTTTCTGCTTTAAGATTCTCCCAAAAAAAATAAAACATAATTAAGTATCCTAATTAAAAAAATGCTAATGATTTATGAGTGCATTAGAGTAGAAATCCACCATAATAATATTTTGTGTGTGTGTGTGTTTGGAACATATTGTTTCTTAATGGGTAAAGAGGACCGCTCAAATGCACCAAATGAACGCTGCAATTGATTAAGGAACGCTGAAGGCAGTGAGTGATTCACCTGAGGTCTGCTCCAAATTTGTGCCTAAAAAAGCTGTATTTCCTGGTCACATTTAATGATAATGATAATAATGCATTTTATTTATAGGCGCCTTTCAGAGCACTCAAGGACACTTTACAAAACACAGTATAAATAACAAGCAGCAATGTATCCATAGATGATAATTGTATTAACTGGTTGGTGTTTTTATGTTTGAAAGAGCTATGAATGATGTTTGTGTAGTTTGTTTATTTTTAGGGATGCACGATAATATCAGAACATCATTGGTTTTGGCTAATATTGGCTTTAAAATGAATCAGAATTGGCCAACATGCTTTTTCTTATTTTGCGCAATGAATAAATATTACATATATTGAAAAGTATTGTATTTCATGTTCATCCGCTGGTGGGCCATCATGAGAAGAGTATGCATGCATAATATGATGTTAATTCCACTACACAAGAGACTTTATGATCACTAATTTTAGCTGGTGAAAAAAGTGGATATATCGATATCAGTATCGGTTATCGGCCAAATAAGTTGTTACATATCGGGTATCTGCAAAATATACATGATTGTGCATCCCTATTTATTTTCTCAGTGAAAATAAGGTGCTTTTCTCTTAGTTGATCATTGCCATTTAAGCACATTTCCACTTAACTGAATTAAGGTTTCCACCTCCAGTCTACTTGTTGTATGAGGTGTAGCCGCACTGTGTTAAAAAATGTCATTATTGGATTAGCATTCAGTATCCGCAGCTACTTTTTTGGGACATCACTACACAATGCCTGACAAGCTCCACAGGTTATTATTTTCACTGTGTAACTTGGATGCTCTTCCCTCTTGTTCTGCTGCAGAGGAGTTGTCTCCGAGCTGTAAAATGTTCCCTCTACATCGAGAGAGGTACAAACCCATGTTGTCTCTTTGTTGTGGCTCTGCATGGCAGGGGTGGGTGACAAACTAAAGTTTAGTTTTTGATCTCCTCCCAGATGATACAGAGAATCCGATGACTGTTATTGATACCTTCCATCAGCAAAAACTGCTTAAACGTCTGCCTGGACTGAAGTATTTATTCATAATTTATTACCTTGTCTGAATATAGATGTTATTTGGCAAAAAAACAAGGAAATTGGCTAAATGGTAATAAATAAGCCCTGGTAAAATTTCAGTATAAGGCAGCTTTTGATGGAAAAGTCAACATTGCATCATGAAATTGAGAAGAAGCTCTCTGGCTCTGTTTGATATTCAAGAATACAACATCAGGATCTGTACTATTGATACTTTGGGGATCAATCCA